GAGTCGTCAGACTACGCCAAAGACTGGGTGCCCACTGTCTGGCAGGAGCCGTCGCCTGCAGCCAGGCGGGGTCGCCGTGAATGCAGACCTTCGCCATGATCGATACGCCACGGTGTGCTGGCGTAAATCCTGATAGAAGAACAGTCCTGAGCTCAGCCAGTTCCTTATCTGACATCCCCAACATCATTGAGCCGTAGCCGGCCCCAGGTCGAACTCCCGAGATGTAAATTTTGCTCATTCGAGACCGATCCCGTGGAAGCTTCTTCCTGAAATACTTGATGAAACCATGGCGTTTTTTTTTCATAGCTTGAAACCGTGTCTTACGCTGGGTGAGCCCGCCTTTACAATCCCTGCGCTGTCCTGGGGCCAGGTCGCAGCCCAAAGAGACGACGGCATTGCTGGGCACGGAGGGGCAGTGACGGGCAATCCTCCTGGCCAAGCGATGCGCAACACGTTGATTCGTCGCGAAGGTGGTGGCCTTGTCAGCGGCCAACTTCACATCAAGACGCTCCTCAAAGACCCACTTCAAATCTGCAGCGGCCGAGGTAAGCGTGCGAATTACTGTATCAGGAGAGCCAGACATCGTCACCGTGTCGTCGTCGATGTATGATCCGAGCGATGCCTGCGGGTTGCGAATACAAAACTGATCAAACTCAAACATTGAATATACCTTGACAAACACATCGTTGAAAATGTCACCTGCTGGCAATCCTGATTTTGCAAATTGCGACAAAGGGACTGCGATGGGCCCCAAGGCGGAGGATCCTAGGGCTGCGCCATAAATTGCACAGGGTCTCGGTGAGGACTCGCGGGATGCCCCAGTACTCAGCTCGGGCCCTCAACCAAGCCAACCGAAAAGATTCGTAGTATGTTTGCCCATCCCAGATGAACCCCGCCGCGATGTCCCCGCTACTGGCCGCTTCTTCAGCCAACAGACATTGTTTCCAGAAGGTTGCCTCCGAGGACTGCCCAGCACCGAAAGACCCATAGGGCCGATGAGCCCGCTCCAGAAACTCATCAACCTCAGGACGCCTCAAACGCTCCCAGATACGAACTGGTGCAGCTAGAAGTAGAATCGGGCGCAATCCTCCCTTGGGCTTCTCCAGAAGCGGCAGCAACATCCAAAGCAACTGCGACGGGAACAGGCCGAGGCGCTCGATCGCCTCGAAAAGAAGCGACATCACCTCCAGGGCGCTGTCGCTCAGGAGGCAGAAGTGGCGCACGTGCAAAGAGTCCGAAGACTGTGCCGTGTGAGTGCTGAAAGACCTCGATGCCATCCTTATCTGATCAGGGGTCGCTCGTTCGAAACACCTACGGTCTGGAATCCAAGCCTCTGGCGGGGTCGACGTGGCCTTCCAGAAGCCTCCCAGCTTAACAGTTTCGGCCTCCAGGGGCTTGACGGGGTCCGCGGAGTATATCCCTGGAGCTACGCACAACTGTTGGTTGCCATGTCCGTTGCAGTTTCGTGAAACGATGCATCATCCGAGCCGACCCTGCAAGGGCCTCCTTTTGCCAGGTATCCCACGACTGCTTTTGGAGCTTGTCCCATAAGTCATTGGCATCTGAGAGGTCCTCGGCAATAACATCCAAGAAAAAATCAGCTCTCGCGCGCCACTCGTGCAGGCAGGGGAGGTCTGAACGCCATTCAGACGCAAGTTGCCTCATCTCACGGAGGGAGGCATCCAATCGGATGTTGAGACCTTCCCCTGGGCATGAGTGCTGCAGCGAAACCGTGAGGATCGCTGCCTGGGACTCGCCATCAGCGAGGCTCTCGGTGGCCAGCAAAAATTCAGCAAAATCATGATAGAGCCATCGCCATCCTGAACAGACCTGGAGCTGATCATCTGCAAGTTTCGGCCTGTAGAACACTGGGGCCCATGAGGCCTTGATGGTATTCCCACGCTCCCCCAAGACCTTGGACTCCACTCCCAAAAATCTCACCAGCTCAAGTTCTGCACAATCGACGAAGAAGCGCCGCGCGGCATTCAGGCATGCCCGAGCCTCGCCAGCAGGGCTGCGACGCGCATGCGCAACTGCACGCACTGCAAGGTGACGGGCACCGTCCCAACATCCCTCAGCAGGGCGAGGCCCAAAAGGTAGCTCTAGGGGTAACTTCTGGAAGCTGCGGTAGACCAGCTGCTTGACCGTCGACGCATCTGGACGAATAGCTAGAGACACGGGACGATGAGGCTTGATCTCCCAAGATGTGTCAGCAGCAACCCCTTGGACCAGCCGAGCCACTCCAGGACCTACCAAGAAGAAATCAATAATCGAACTGGAAGTCGGGGACCTGCATGTGGGCATCGTCGGGGCCATCGTGAGCATGCCTAACTTCCGAACGAACCCAGATCCTTCCAGAACCTCCGGAGACATGTTGAAATCGCCGGCCACGATCGAGCGGGTCGGGTCCGAGATAGCCGGGCCCAACTGGGCCAGCAGAGCCGTGTTGATGGGCCCTTCCGCCGACTTAAGGTAAACCGAGAAAAGCGATAACGTCGGCCATCCAGGGAAATCAACCAAAACTTTGAATGTACGATGGGGCGCCACTGGAGTCTCACCTTGAGGAAGCCATCTGATACCAATACTCAATCTTCCAAAAATAGCAACACCTGCAGAAACCTCACCTGTCTCTGGGTTCAGGTAGCTTGGGGCAGAAAGCGCATGCCAGCCACGACGTCGTGCCTTGTCGCTGGCCCTGCCGGTGAAGTCCACACAAGTGCCGACCTCCTGCGCACAAAGAAGAATCGCCGAGCTCTCGCGCAAGCGCCGCTTGAGCGTGGCCCAGCAGGAACCGTTGAAACTCTCAACCGAATACTGCCCAATCTCAGTATTGGACCTGGACGGGGCCCCCTTCAGAGGTGGGGCGGGAGCACCTGTGCAGGAGAGAGGAATGCCGCAACACTTGGGAGCTGGGCCGCCGAACATAGTGTCACCCACACTTTTGTTTCTTAGCCTGAACACCCAGTTGCTTAAGAAGATCCCCAAAGGCACGCTTATTATCGTCCTCTGACCTGGCAGCTTCGATAAGTTTGTCAATGCCTTCATCCGAAATATCTTCCAAATCCGTGTCCATGGGAGTGGGGATATTCTCACCCCCAGCATTTCCACGGGCCCCTTGAGCACCAGGGCCACCAGGAAACCCCCCCGAGCCCTCGGGGGCCGAAGGAGGAGGAGGAACTTGGGCTGCCCGAGCCTGGCACTGCTGCTCGAACAACTTCTGGTATTCGGCGAACTGCGGGGAGGCCATGAGCTGCCGCACCTCAGGCTTATCCTTGACCGCGTCCGCGTCCAAGACACATGTTGGCATCGCACTGGGCGGGGCCACCTGCGCCATGGTAGACTGGAGCTCCAACTTGGTGGCTTCAATCTCCACTCTGACCAGCTTGGCTTTCTCCTCCATTCTCTGCAGCTCAGTCTGAGCCGCCTGGATGAGGGCCTGCTGGGTCTTGATGTCCTCGTCGAGGCGCTCCAGCTTGGCGCTGGACCTCTGCAACTTATGGCCCAGCGCCATGTGGCGCGACAGTGAAGGCTTGGTAGAATTGAACTCCTTGCGCGCATCAGCCAACTCCTTCTCCATGGCTTGCCTGATGGCGGCAGGGAACTGCTCATCACTTCGAATCCCTTGGAGGGTGCTCTCCAAGGACTTGATCTTGGCCGACAGACCTTTGGTGGCCTCGTCACTGGCCGTGTCAGCGCCTCCTCCGTCTGCTGCATCTGGTGGTGCGCCTGCGGCCTGTGGGCGGCTGCCCGCCTGCTGGCCGAACTGCTTGACGAGGGATTCCATCTGCTTCTGCAGGGCACTGATGGAGAGCACCACAGAGTTGGGAGCATCATGCGGAGGGCCACGAGCCCAAGCGCCACCAGGAGCACGAGGTGGCTTGCCATGGGGGCCCGACTGGAGCTCCGCTGCTGCTTTCTTCGCCTTGTCGATGATTGCCTGCGGAGCCTTCTTTCCGCACAAGCACTTGATGCGGGACGCGAAGTTGCTGTTGCGCCCGCAGGAAGGACAGCCCCACATAGGCGCCTTCGGGCCTGGTAGGACATCAGGGTCTTGCCCCATGCGGCTGCACAGGGGCACGTGGAAACTGGAGGGATGAGGTCCCTCGGCCTGAAACCGAGCCGTTGGCTCGCAACTGCGATTACCGCTCTGAAGACGGCAGCTGCAAGCCCAAGAATCACTTGGGCCAAAGCGGCTGAGAAGGAACAGGAGGAGGAGGAGGAGGAGGAGGAGGAAGAGGAGGAGGAGAGGGCGGCGGAGAAGGAGGTGAGAAGGAGCAGCAGCGGGTGCAGGACCAAGACCTCCGACGTCTGGAGTTCCTCAATACGGGGTCCCGGGGGTCATTTGTCCAGGGCCAGCTCTTCGTCCTCTGTCGTTTTCTGACGGTGCCAGGGCAAAGCGAAGGACCCCAGAGGCCGAAAACGGAGAAACACTTCCGCATCGAAGTTCTCGAGACGTTGGAGGTCTTGTTTTCGGGTCATAACTCCGGCGGCCGTTCGGGACGATCTGGGCACCCCCCAGAACGCACTCGGCGAAACGCAGCCGCTGGAAAGCCCCCCCGAGGCCAGAAACCGTCGAGAACCGACGACCACGCCAAAAAACCTCGAACCGAGAACAACATCCGCATCGAAATTCTCAAGACGTTGGAGGTCTTTGGGGGAGCAGAAGGCACAACCAGAGCCCCCCCTGTCTCCTCTATCAGAGTCCTCCTTTTCCTCCTCCGCCTCCTCTCCTCTCACTCCCTGCTCCTCCTCCTCCTCCTCCTCCTCCTCCTCCTCCTCCTCCTGCTGTTTCTCCTCCTTCTCCTCAGGCCGCTCTCCCTCCTCCTCCTGCTCCTGCCTCCTGCTCCTGCTCCTGCTCCTGCTCCTCCTGCTACCTCACTTCCTCCTCCTCCCCTCCTTCCTCCTGCTCCTCCTCTCCTCCTCCTCCTCCCGCCTCCTCCTCCTCCTCCTGCTCCTGCTCCTCCTCCTCCTCCTCCTCCTGCAAGAGCACGCGCCCGCCGTCCGTGGCCCGACGCAGCCAGCGACCGCACAGCGCCTGGCCGGCCCGGGCCCCACCGCCCTCGCGCGAGCGCGCGGCATCCCGGCGTCGCACAGGCTCCTCCTCCTCCTCCTCCTCCTCCTCCTCCTCCTCCTCCTCCTCCTCCCTCCATGATTTCTCAATATGAATACTACTCTCCTCTCTCCCCTGATGATGTCGGGGCGATATCTGGCCCCCCTCCGCGTACTGTGTTTCACAAGCAAGATTCCCAGGAACTGTTTTTTTCGCTGTTTTTTTCGAAATGTTGCTCCTGCTGAAGCGCCTCGTTTTCGGGCTTCCGCTCGTTCCGAATCGTGTTCCCGCTGCAACGCTGGCATGATTTCCGCGCTTCCGCTCGTTCCGAATCGTGTTCCCGCTGCAGCGCTGGCATCATTTCCGCGCTTCCGCTCGTCCCGAATCGTGCTCCCGCTGCAGCGCTGGCGTCAATATTTCCATTGCCATGCCACGGCATGGTTTTCGGTCCTTCCATACAGGCCCCAAAATCTAGAAAATGGTCTCCCGAACAAACCATCGGAAGTGATTCCAAAATCGGTGTCGATTCGTTTATTGTTTGGGGGGCCGCAGAAGCCCCGCCCCTTTTGGGACGTCGCCACGCCATGCTATGTCATGCTACGCGTTGATATTCAGCACAATGCTATGCCGTGTAATGCTATGCCATACTACGACATCCGATTGTGCGAATGGAGTGATCTACGCAATGGTAATGGATGGAAGGGAGGGGTGGGACGTTAGATATGACGCGAGCGTACCTAGCTTGTCCCTACCTCCTCTCCACCCTACCTCCTCCTCCTCCCCCTCGAACTCCTCCTCCTCCTCCTCCTCCTCCTCCTCCTCCTCCTCAACAATGCTCCTTCTCCTCCTCTTTTGCCTCACTCCTTCACCCCTCCCTCCTCCACTCCTCCCTCTTCCATCGTGAGAATTCACGACCTTGACCCCACAACTTTTCTATGGAACTTCACGTTTTCGAGTCGAATCGATCCCTCGGGGCCCTGGAGCACAAGATGGGGCGGTCCCGAAGAGGACTGCCAGGACCTCAAGGATGCTTTTCTTACATCTGGCAATTGCAACTACTAAAGCTGACGCATTCCTCCTCTCAGGGCTCCTCCTCCTCCTCCTCCTCCTCAATATCCTCCTCTCCCCTCCTCCACCTGATTCCTGATCCCTGGCGGCTGGAAAGAACGTAGTTCCTAACCATCCGTCCTCCTTCTCCTCTTCCTCCTGCTCCTGCTCCTGCTCCTGCTCCTCCTCCTCCTCCTCCTCCATTCGTTGCTCTTACAGATAATTCCTCCCTGTCGCACGCTGAGGCTGGTCGAAAGCGCGGGCCGGACGTTTCGCCAGAGACTTCCTCACAATGTATGATCCCGAAGCATGAGACGTGCAAGAAATTCATTGATGGAGGGCGGTCCGTGTTTAAAATGTAGCTTTCGCCGTAGCGCCGCGCACCTTCAACATGTGCAAGAATTTCACGGATGGAGGGCGGTTAGTTCTTTTTTTTTAATGTGGCTCTCGCCTTGGCGCCGCGCACAGTCGTCTTCAACATGTGCAAGAGCATCAAGGATGGAGGGTCGTCCGTTTTCACATGGGGCTCTCGCCGGAGCGCCGCGCGCAGTCGTTTTTAAACATGTGCCAGAGCTGCAGGGGATGGAGGGCTGCTCTTCTCCAGAGTGTGGCTCTCTTCTCAGCGCCGCGCGCACGCGTCTCAAATGAGAGCAAGACCTTCCCGGGTGGAGGGCGGTGCCTTTTCAGACGGTGGCTCTCGCGCTGGCGCCGCGCACACCTCCCTTAAGCGTCTGCCAGAGTCTCACGGGTGGAGGGCGGCTCCTTTTCAAAGGGCTGCTCCCAGCTCAGCGTCGCGCACATTCGTCTGAAGAGTTTGCAGGAAATTCAAGGACTCCAATGGTTAACGTACCAGAAATACGTGTGTTGGCACGATGTCGGAATGTCAGGGCGCAACAGTCACGTTGATTCGCGGCGTTAAAATCCCAGGATTGATGTTCTGGCACGGTTCAGGACCGTCAGGACGCACCAACAACGGTGATTCAAGGGGCTGAAGCCCCAGAACTGGCGACATGGCGCTCTGGCACAATTTCCGATGTTCAAGAACGGTTGTCTTCCAAAAGGGAATGCCCACAATGAAAATCGATTCGTGAAGGAGCCTACGTATCTTGGAGAGCGGGTGGATTGCAATATCGTTGATGCGTCTTGGGTTTGCACTGGTCCTCCTCCTCCTCCTGCTCCTCCTCCTCTTCCTCCCCCTCCTCCGCCTCCTCCTCCTCCTGCTCCTCCTCCCTCCTCCTCCTCATACTTCTTCCAGAGTCTGGGTGGCTGGGAAAAACGTCGTTCGTAGCCCTCCTCCTCCTGCTCCTCCTCCTCCTTCTCCTCCAGCTACTGCTCCTTATCATCCTCCTCTTCCTCCTCGTCCTCTTCCTCCTCCGCCCCCCTCCTCCTCCTGCTTCCCGATTCCTGGTGGCTGGAAAGAACGTCGTTCGTAGCCCTTCGCCTCCTTCTCCTCCTCCGCCTCTCCCTCCTCCTCCTCACCCTCCTCTCCTCCTCCTCCTCCTTCTCGTCCTCCTCCTCCTCCTCCGCCTCCTCCTCCTCCTCCTCCTCCTCCTCCTCCTGCCCCCTCCTCCTCCAATTTCGCCATCCTGCTCAACCTCCGCTCCCTCCTCCGCCTCCTCCTCCTCCTCCTCCACCGGTCGCTTATAGATAAATCCTAATCCTCTTCTCTTTCTTCTCCTCCTCCTCCTCCGTCTCCCTCTACTCAAGCTCCTCTCCACCTCCTCCTCCTCGTTTTTCCTCTCCTAATCCTCCTCCTCCTCATCCTCCTCCTCCTCTTCTCCCTCCATCCGTCTTCCTCCTCTTCCTTCTCCTCCTCCTCCTCCTCCTCCTCCTGCATCCGTCTTTCCCCTCCATGCGTGTTCCTTTTCCTCCTCCTCCATTTCCTCCTCCTCCTCCCCCTTCTCCTCCCGATGACTGATTCCAGGCAGCTAGAAAGAACGTCGTTCGTAGCCCTCCTCCTCCTCCTCCTCCTCCTCCTCCTCCTCCTCCTCCTCCTCTTTCTCTCCTCCTCCTCCTCACTCCTCCTCCTCCTCCTCCTCCTCCTCCTCCTCCTCCTCCTCCTCCTGCCCTCCTACTCTTCTTCCTCCAACAATATCTCATATCTTCATATCTCATATCTTCATATGTCCATACCTCCATACCTCCTCCTCCTCCTCCAGTTCCTCCTCCTCCTCCTTCTCCCTACCTCCTCCTCCTCCTCCTCCTCTTCCTCCTCCTCATGTTTCCTGATTAGTGGTGTCTGGGAAGAACGTCGATCGTAGCCATCCTCTTCCTCCTCCTCCTCCTACTCCTCATCCTCTGCCTCCTCTTCCTCCTCCTCCTCATCCTGATTCCTGATTCCTGGTGTCTGGACAGAGATTCGTGTGTAGCCCTCCGCCTCCTGCTCCTCCTCTTCATCCTCCTCCTCCATAGCTTCATATCTTCATATCTTCATATCTCCATACCTCCTCCTCCTCCTCCTCCTCCTCCTCCAGTTCCTCCTCCTCCTCCTTCTCCCTACCTCCTCCTCCTCCTCCTCCTCCTTCTCCTCCTCCTCCTCCTCCTCCTCCTCCTCCTCCTCTTCCTCTTCATCCTCCCTCCCAAAGAATCCGACACGGACCCCAGGAGGCCTGGACGTTCCGGCCACAGATGACGTCCTCCAGGCCGAGAAGACGAAGAGCAACGCAAGAGCTGAACAGATCATGCCTACAGGACGAGGATAAATTCGGGCGAGGATTGATCGATAAACAAGACGCGATGTTTTTCGTTGTTTTCGGCCCAAGGGGGTCCTCGCCGGGTCCCGGGACCATCAAAAAATGACGCGGGATGAACAACCGGCTTCGCGGAAGGGGTTGGGGCTCACGGGGACCGCGCATTGAAAAAATCAGGACGTCGCATGTCTGGGAAGCCAGGTCGATGATAGATTCGGGTGAGGATAAATCAAGAGTCTCTGAGATCTGGCAACTCTGCAGAACGCATCGGGTGCAGCGGCCCTTTTCAGAGCGTTCTGGAAGGCTCTGAGAGCGTTCTCGAACGCTCTGGAATAGATTTATCCTCGTCCTACTCCCGTCTGACTGGGCCCCCCTCCGCCACCCCCCCCGGACGTAGGTCATGCACATGCCGACGACGGTGCACAGGGCGAACGACGCCAGGTACAGCTGGTGCATCACCAGATTCTCGGACGAGGACACCTGCCCTCTCTTAGGGGGAACGATAGGGGGTACGAGCTGGGGGGAGAACCGTCGAACTGGAATCGGCGATACGTCGCCCATAGATCGGCGATAAGCCCCCGTTAGCAAAGCCGCACGTTCCCGGGCGGGGTTGACCATGGGGCCCCGTATCGGCAATCAGTGGGCGATCGGGGGTAGTAAATGCCTCCCCCCCTGAGGCCTGAGCCTACCCCTAAAAAAGCTAAAAGAAGCCCAACGAGGTGTAGCATGATAAAACTCAACGAACACAGGGTTGCGCCTCTCGGAATTAGAAAAAACATCTGCACAACCAGATGCTGTCGAATGCCCGCGAACCTGGCGGAATCTCCGGCGCAGCCCCTCGCGCGCTCCGCGCGGCTGTGGGGGCGGTGACACAGCGCCGATCCAAGAAATCCGCGCGAACCTCCGAAAATTTGCTTCTGCAGTGCTTCTTTGGATTTTGACGCTGCTGATAGGCTGTGATGTCCGAATCTCAAGGTCGCGCCTGTCGGGAACCCGTAACCAGCCGTATTCGAACCATAGCTAGGGTCTCCTCCAGCCGTTCGGTACGATGCGGGCATCTCCAGGGCGCTCTAGGCGAGGCGCACCTGCTGGAACGCATCCCGAGGCAGGAGCGCTTCCAAGAACGTCTCGCCAAGGGTCACTCTCACGCGTAGCCGCTCCTCACTCGGGGATGGACAGACCCCCGTTTAGCAAAACGTGGTTTAGTGAAAACGACCTGAGGCCTAACCCTGGCGGGCGCAAGCCTGGAAAATGACGGCCACGGCGCCCTCCCGAGAACCGAAAACGGACAATTCACTAATCGACGTGTCGCTGGTGGGGGTTCTGCCCACCTCCGACTCACCCCTCCGCTCCGTCGTCAGCATCATCAGGCACAGCTGCTCGGTGAAGAAGACGGCGCAACGCGCGGTGTTCAGCGGGCCGAAGCCGGCCGCCTCGCCGGCGCGCGGCCGCTGCCACCCCCCCCTCCAAGGGGAAAACGACAGGGGGGGCCAGCTCCAGGAGGGAGGGGGGAGGAGGCATCAGGCCTGATGACATGCGCACACGGGCGCCCAACTTCACGCTCCGCGCCGAAGCGCGACGCCTGGACAACTTCGCGCTCTCGCGCCGCCCCCCCCAGGGGAGAATAGGAGGATGGGGAGGAGTCGGAGCCGGACCGCGGCGCAGAGGGGGCTGCCTCCACCAGGAGAAGTTGGTCCTGGATTCTGGTGCTGCTGGGAATTTCTCGCCCGAGGAGGAATATAACTACCATCGCCGAATATAACTACCATCTGCTAAGCCCGAATACAACTACCATCGCCGAGACCGCCCATCCGCTAAGCCCGAATCTAACCACCATCGCCGAGACCGCCCCCCAGGAGGAAGCAACCGCCCGCACGTTGGCTTCTGACACCGCGGGGATCCCCCAACCTTGCAGGATCGGCCGTTCCTGCTCCCCCTCCTCCTCCTCCTCCTCCTCCTCCTCCTCCTCCTCCTCCTCCTCCTCCTCCTCCGCCTCCGCCTCCGCCTCCGCCTCCGCCTCCGCCTCCTCCTCCTCCTCCTCCTCCTCCTCCTCCTCCTCCTCCTCCTCCTCCACCTTGCAGGATCGGCCGTTGCCGACACGTCCGATCCTTCAACACCGACCGATGCTGGGCCGCCACCGGCGCTCAACCTTGCCCGCCAGCGGCGGGGCCGCCGCCGGTGGACACGACGCGAACCCGACCTCTCGGCCACCCAGTCCTCTCGGACCCCGCCCCCGACCCCTCTCGCTCGGCCCTCCAGCGCCCCAGGAGGAGGAGGAGGAGGAGGAGGAGGAGGAGGAGGAGGAGGAGGAGGAGGAGGAGGAGGAGGAGGAGGAGGAGGAGGAGGAGGAGGAGGGCGCGCCCTGCTGCAAAGGGGCAGCGAGCACGAGCACGGCCCTCCAGCGCCCCGGCCCTGCGGCGCGCCCTGCTGCAAGAGGACAGCGAGCACGCGCACGACTGAAGGGGCCCTGGGACACACAAATAAATACACACAAATAAAACTATTCCCCATATTTTCCCATATTTTCTGGGCTTTTGTCTTCCCCCCCACTTCCCATATTATCGCATATTTTCCTGAGAGTGGACGATTAATTGTGTCTGTGTGTTTTTCCCCTCCTGAACGACGACGACTACGACCACGAGGACGACGACGGAGGCGGCGGCGCCCCCGACGGTCAGGCCCAGCCGGCGGCCGCCGCAGCGGCGGCAGCCGCGGGGCACCTCCTGCGGGAGGGAGGGAGCGAGCTCGGCGACTCCGAGGGGTGCGGTTTGCCACCCGCGCCGGGAGGGGCGGGCGAGGACCTCGACAGAGAGAGAGTGCTGCCGCGCCCCGGCGAGGGCCCATCAATCCTCTGGCGCAGCGTGGTGACCAGCGGCGCCGATCGCAAACCGCGCCCTGGCGTACTCCAGATGTCGACATAAAAGGCGAGGAGGAGGAGGAGGAGGAGGAGGAGGAGGAGAAGCGGACCTCGAGGTCCTCCTCCTCCTCGCTTCTCCTCGCTCCTCCTCCTCCTCCTCGCTCCTCCTCCTCCTCCTCGCAAACCGCGCCCTGGCGTACTCCCTGGGGTCTGGACCCTCCAAGACAAGCCACTTCAGACCCCCCCCGTGGGAGAACCGAGAAGGGCTCAAGTATAGCTCTGATTGGGATGCCATGTGGGATGAATCCTTGTCGGGACCTGTGAAGGGGGAGCTTGAAGGGAGGGTATACTTATTCCAACATCGTTGATGAGGTCCTGGGTAGACTCAGGCAACGAAGCTGAAGCGTTAGTCCTTTGCCTCTTCCTCTTCCTCTTCATTCCCCCCTCCTCCCACCTCCCCACTTCCCCCTCCCCCCGCCCCCCTCCACAATTTCACGATATGAATACTACTCTCCTCTCTCCCCTGATGACGTCCGGAAGATATCCCGCGCCCCTCCGCGTACTGTTTTTTTGCACACAGGATTCCTGGGAAGGGGCATTTGCTTGGGCTTTGTTTCAAAATGTTGCTCCCGTTGAAGCGCTGGCCCCATTTCTGCGCCTCCGGTTGTTCCAAATCGTGCTCCTGCTGCAGCGCGGGCGTTTTCGGCCCTTCCAGACAAGCCCCAAAATCCCACCAGCCCTCTGGGCGTCGGTGGTTTAGGGTGTTTCCTCTTCCACCCCTCCTTCTTTCCCTTGGGGGAAGGGTTTACCCCTCCCCCTCCCCCCTCCCCATGGACCTGGACGGGGGGGTTCGCGAGTCGTCGGAGCGTCCAAAACGACCTCGGCGA